CTAATACTCGTCTAGGCTTGGGCAACCTGGCAGTACCCCAGCCCTCGTGCCTCCTTCGGGTGGCATGGCAGCTAGGCACCGGAAGAGTGCTACAGCTCAACGCTTTCAATACTCGTGAAAGGATGAAGGCGTTCCCCTGCGAAGCACCTTATTAGGAAACGAAGTATGCGGTTACAAACCTTTGGACATGAAGGTAACATTTTATCTGCACAGTTTTCGAAAAGTGAACATTCCCAAGCGTATTCTTGAACTTTTCTGGGCGATCATTGAATATTTAACAGTAGTAAACAAATTCATTGGAAAATGAGACCGATAGGGAAGTCATCGTTTCAGAGAGGTTTAGTAAGCAATTGGTGAATTTATTGCTGGGCAGCCTTTCGCTTTTGACACAGGCTAAGTGAGTAAGTAAGTAGGTCGATTGGGTTTTAGGGCAGTCAGGGAACCAATCTGTGAGATCCCTTATGACTGGAGCGGTCTCATAATTTCTGTAATAACCTTCACGTTCTGTTGGGTGCGGGAGCGGAGCCTGAACATCAAACCATAGGCTACTTCCATGTTCCATCAGTAGTTTACACCGTATACACTGGTAACAGTCAAAGCAGGAGGATGCGGAATCGATATAGTGCCTCTCAGCACAGCACGGCTGTCTTGCAAAGAAAGTATCCAAATGCTAATTCAGAACACGCATTATCGGGTACACGACAGGAGAAAACACCCTGTCCGACTGCACCAAAAAGACAGTACACTTAGAATACTGTGTGATGCATCCACACCCTATTTTACTGCGCCTCCCAACGACGGTCAGAGACTGCTATGTTGTGAACAGTGCCTATGCTCCGACGCCATGCAGTCGACCGCAAACGTGATTCCTAAACTAAATTTTATGTACCTCAATCAGTTCATGAGACCGGTTGTTGGAAGACTTCAGTGCATATGTCGGTTGAGATCACTCTCTGTGGCCAGACGTTCTCGGATACCACACTATCGAGGCTGTAATTTCCAATGGTAATCGACTTCTCGGACTTTGCTATCACCCTCGAACAACTCATCTTCATGCAGCCAATCGCGCTCGAATATGTCGTTCGTCACTGAGACATTCGAGAGGTATGCATCACATGAGCGATTCAAGAAGTCATCTGTGGAACCGACTGTCAGCATGTCTGAAAGAAGCTTAAGGCCCATCTTCTTAAGCCAACTACACCACTGGTATAAGATTTCTCAAAGATCCGAAAATGAGGCAGTATCAGCATGCACTGATCTCCACGCCGGCAGCTTTCAGTCAATCAATCGTTCAGTTGTAGCACCCTTCCGGTGCCTAGCTGGCATGCCGACAGAAGGATACTGGGATATTGCCAGGTCGTCCAACTCTAGACGGAGGAAATAGAGAGGTAGAGGCCGGGTTCGAACCACGAACCTTCCTGTCAGTAAATTTGGACCATCCCGCCCAGCCCTCCTGACAGAAACATGGCACAACTTAAAGCACCAGATGATGATGATGATGAGACCTTGAGTCAGATCGGACAGCTGCGCATGAGACCGTGACGGAATTGACAACAAAAAAACATAAACCAGCTATTAGCTGCTGTCGAAGCTTTCGCCCATCCGCACAGCGCAGGCAACAAACGGGAGCTAAATAGCAATCAAAACTGCCTGACTAGGGCGGGGTAGAAGATGGGGAAATCAAAGCAGATAGATCGAAGAATCCGCTACTCGGTGGTGGCACAGGGAGCTGTACGGTTTCCCTAAAGCCATCTTCAGCTAGAGCGTAAAACAAACGCCCATAATACTGACACGGGACTGCAGCAGACGTTACCTGCAGAAGTACGGTTATACTACGCAAACACCATAATTAACCGTTCAACCGACTGACCAGTGGCAGCTGGACTACAGTATTTCAGCTCCGCATGAAATTACCAAGAATTCGAGAAAGGAAGTACTTCAATAGTGACAGCCGGAAAGCTAATCGCACTGCTGTTCAGTGATTGGTTCCCAACCACTTATATCAGATCACCGGAATAAGGTTCAGCTGTTTTCCTTCACATTACAGTGGGCTTGCATGAGAGGAGAGAAGTAAACGGGATTAAAAACCAGCACATGACAATACCGTTCAGTCTGATTTATCTCAGTGTGGCTTCGGTCATGAATGAGGCGAGAGGTGAACGAAACGGGAAACCATGTGATCGCTGGTTCAGTTTACAACACGTATGTTGTGAAACCAAAAACAAATGGTTTAGCCTGTAGATCTGTATTCACAGAAGCAAGAAAGCTATGTCCATATCTATGGAAAGCGGGCAGGCTGAGTATGCGTGCTTAACTTCAGTCAAATTGTCTGATTAACATAATTCGTGTGTTTTTCCGGTAACCCTGGTTATTCGATGTGTACTCTGCTTTGTCACTAAACCAGTCTCACCAATTCCCAATGTGATAAGAAAGTATCCGCACAATCACACCAGTTCCAGGGCGGTAATCAGGACAATGAAGGACTGTCCGCCTGACCCTGAGACATGAAAGTACATCTTCAGAGCTTCGAGCAAATATGAGAGGACTACCGTTTTTGTTAAAGATTATAACAACAGGGTCTAGGCAGGGCGCACAACAGGCCGCATTATTCCGGGCTTTCAGACAGTATAAACCTTTGCGATGTTGTTGCGCCAACTAATGTATCACAGTTGACCTTTGGCTTTGACGTGATTTGTCACAAATCACTTGAATTAATAGCTCTTCTGTACAACAGGAACACATCTGAATTGGCAGCAGGGCTACTGTAACCGAGGGAATCTTAGTAGCCCAGAAGCCTAACGCTACACTGAGGAAACTGATCTTAAGATCGAAAGATGAGACCGACGAAGGTGCAAGAAACGGTTTTGTGTACCGAATGAATTGCATGGACTGAGTAAACATTACTTTGGACGGACTGGTAGAAACGGTTCAACATGGATAAAGAAGCCCAATACACTTACCATCAGATGCGATCCACTATTTCTCATTTTCATATGTGAAGATCAGGAGGGACACAAGTTTAATCTAAGAGACATGAAGGTTGTCACACTCGAAAGTACAAGACTAGAGAGGCAATTCCTAGAAACGTGATACTCCATAAAGTATTCATTCGACCGGCATATCGACCCTGTCAACATGCCGCTACGACCGAAGGGCTGCCAACTCAGTGGTAACACTGAGTCAGTCTCGGCATCAGATTACTAGATCAAGAATCAGGACTCACTCTTAAGGCAATCAAACAGAGGTCAAGGCGGGAAAATTGGAAAGGTCGAGTCTCAAGGCACCCACTAATCAAAGGACAGGTCACGCGACAAGCCAACAGAAATGCTCTTTCGAAAGACTAATGATCACCGGGAAATCTAGTGCTTACATTAAGAATTCATACGACCTTGTCAACAAAGTAGCGGATGTCACCGTTGAACCAGATGACATCCTTTTAAGTTTCGATGTCAATTCTTTATATACAAATGTGCCAAAACAGGACTCTTGAGAAATAGTCCAGCCACTGCTACTAGCACATACCACCATTTCAGAACGGACAGATCTTACGGTAGATAAAATAGTGAGAAGCATGTATGAATCTCATCAACTTCACTTTTGACTCCATGGTTTACACCCAAGAACAAGATGCAGCAGTGGGATTTCCAATATCCACTTTTTGGCAAATATTTTTGTGGAAAACTTTGGGCAACGGATTCCCATGCCCACTAGAGATATTGTGGCGTATGTGGATGACACTTTCGTCATGATGAACCGGGACAATGTAAATTTTACGACTGTCTGAATGGCCTTAATGCGCACATCAGATTTAGTGTAGAGATAGAATCAACATCGGCTACACTGCTATTCTTAGACAGCATGACACAAACCAACTGATACTGGAACGATTTTTAGCTACTCGTCTGCTAGTATTTCCTCATCGATATCTAACCGAGTAAGGACTGTGTGCACAGAAGAGTTTGACCGGACAGTGACTCAAACTGAAGTAAAGAAGAAATTCCGGGTTAGTGAATATTCAGCTAGTTTGATAAGACGAAGGCTGTTGATACCGGTTGGGAAACCCAACGAAATGGATTGGGACTGTGGTTATTTCATACAAACCAGGGGTGTCGGAAGCCATTCGAAGAATTCTAAACACGACCAGCATAAGAATAGCTTACCAGGAGGGTAACACTGCGCTGTGCAGTAGTACACTTAAAGGTTCGCCTCTCGGTGAACAGAACCGGAGACTGTCCACAAAGTGAAACTCAACGATTGCACTAAGGTCTACATAGGACAGACGCCAGGGAACTTCACGCTAGAATCGGAGAGCACAGGGGGAAAATGAACAGGTAGCCGAGAAACGCAGATGAATATCGAGTGTTACTGAAAGACCCAGCAATGGTGGAACACGCACTGGATGCAGGACACAAAATAGATTTAGAAAATCTTGAGGTTTTCATGCGACGACGATCCATGCCAGAGAGACAAATGGCCCATGCGGTGGAAATTGCCAAGCATCTTTATTGAATTCAACCCTCCATTCATTTGCTTACTCCGTCTATGTACTTTTGACCTCCAGTTGTTTGATTTATCCGTACCCGCCACTCACCTTGCCGCAGCGGCCGTCCTGTCCGACGCTTGTGTATTGTGTGTCTGTGTGCGAATGTGCGCTACTGACCCTACTAACCCATGCGCGTTCATGTCCCGTTTGCGGGGCCTGCCTTGACTTGTTTTCTCATGAGTTCCGTATGATCGCACGTCCAACGGGAATCACGGGACCGTCGTCGGAAGGGACGACGCAACCCACACTACTGAGCCATCATTCCGCTTGCCGTTGTTTGGTGTGCGGAAGTTGACACTGTGCCGGTTAGTGACAGACCTGTTAACTTATTGACGCTAAGAACACGAACTACTGAGGTTTGTTGTACACATTTGCTTACCCTCGTGTAAATAGTACCGTAGAATTACGAACCCAATTCTTCCTTTTGATACTCGGGATTGTCGAACCTACGCGTCACTCAAAGCTCCGTATCGGGAACCTCAACAATCCCAGTGTCAATAGAATAGAAGACGTAGAACTGGCAAGCGAGTTAAGAATGGTTTTGGATCAGCCGAGCTGACACGTGTTAGTTTGCAGTATTCAGGAGTCACCAACCCACATTCCCCTTCCTCCTCTAGCTAACTGATCGCAGCACTCACAAACAGATCAGCGAAACCTACCAGTGGCACCCAAGCTGAGACATCAATTGAAACATCGTGAAGTGGAAGACTAAGGGACCAAACCCGATCAGAAATAATTTGAAACTCCCTCACCCCATCAAACGCATGACTTAGACAACCATGCTAACCAACACGACCCTTTAATTGATATTCAACATTGATCTAGTGCTCTAATCTGAAGAGGTCTTATTGATGAACTCTCCGTCTACCTTGAAACCTGGCCAACTTGGTGACCTGCTCACGTGGCGGAATGAAGATTTCGGGTGAAAAGCGAAAAGTTGCCTAGTTGAAACCTAACAAGCCCTTCTGAAAGGATGAGTAGACCTCACATCAACCGACGCGCGCGCACTAATCCCACTTCCACCCAAAAGGCACTGATGTCAGCACAACTGATGGAACAATTTCAGCAAAATCTCCCGGCTCAGCGAATAAACCAACAGTCATCGTTACAATTTTGCTACTAGTATTTTCCTCAGATAATACTGTGATTCAGATCAATAAGAAGAACTATAGTGAATATCCGAAAAACGCTAAACGAAGACATATCGTGCGGAATCGTACCGTTTCGAACGCTCTTGTCAAACACAGCAGGCATCACGTAAGTGATGAATAAGCGAATGTAAACAGCAGTAAAAATCCCGGATTCAAATTCTCAAAGGAAGGTTTAAAAAAGTATGTCCGCTACACGTACATTAGAGTGGGCGCAGTGTCCAACTCCGATTTTTTGGGCCTAAACAGTGCAGTGGACAAAACTATAAGATAGGTCAACAGACAGGCCTCTCAATTTGTAATGATTTTGCATTCTGAAGAAATGTCAGTCTGGCGACTGTAGTTGACATTATTTGTGGTAGAGGAGGTGCTTGGCGGCCAACCGTGGTTACTGGGTACTGGATTGGTCCAAACAGTTCAGGACAAACTTAGCAGCATGCTCGTTTACTCGCACATCAGGTTTCACTCCGTTTCTTCTTATATGGATTTTGTCACTTGTGCAGAGCTGTTACCCAGCCAGTTGAGGATGAAGGCTCGGATATGGTGTTGCAGGCTCAGTGGTGGATATACTATTGAATGCATTCTATCAGCCAATACAGCAAAAGAGCATTACGGGAGCACGCGTAATGCATACAGCCAAGCACACGTCAAGCGGTATCGTACTCCGATTGGCTGCACAAGATCACTTGTCCATTAAAAATTTCTCTCTAAGAAGTTCAACCAGCCATTCTATGGTTTGGNTATATATATATATATATATATATATATATATATATATATATCAACTGCCGCGCCGAGATGAATAAGGTTGATCGGGTTGCAGGAAGTGCGAAGTTGCAAACCTGTGATTTCCGCAGATTTATGGAAGACAGCTTATTTCGAAGCAAGCAATCTAGGTTTTTGTATGATTCTTGCTGTTGTTGCGTTCGTTGGAACACGTGATAGAAAATTGATTGGGATTTCATTCTGTTGCATCGTTTATCCTACGAATTTATATGCAAGCTCTTGATTGCATTAAACCAAAATGCACACCACTACGCTTTGCGTATTGCTGAATTAACGATGGAAGCTAGTATTCCAGTGAGTGTGTGAATTTGGAGACAGAAATCGCTTCATTCTTCTGATACATTTGCCCTCATGGAAAAATTTCACCCCTGGTGGAGTTTGAAATGGTATTTACTATAAAACCTATTTTTTTTCCGGTTGGATAACACCCATCCCTTGTATTTGATTTCTGTTTTATCTGACGAATCCGGTTCGAACTATCCACCAGGATATATAGTTCCACTCACTTGAATGTATGCCACAAACACATGCATTTCAAGTGCTTACAAGTGTGCACTGCAAAAAAAATCGTTCAGCTATAGCACCCTTTCGGTGCCTAGCTGCAATGCCACACGAAGGAGTCACGAGGGCTGGGATAATGCCATGTTGCCCAAGCCTAGACAGGGGAAGTCGAGAGACAGAGGTCGGTTTCGAACCACGGACCTTCCGGTCATCAAATCCGCGCTCTAACCACTTGGTCCATCTCGCCCTCAATGTGCACTGAAACCTTTCTGCAGTCTCATTCTTTTCTTTACTGAACCACTTCACAGTCGTAGTCAAGGTAGAGCCAAACAAAAACCTCCATATTGTTCAACAATACAACATGGATATGTACGATTTGGCAACGAGTGTTCGCCAACTAAAACCGAAATGCTGTGAAATGTTACCGACGAAGAAACCATCGCGGATTCATTCAGCGCCAATGATTGTCTGGATACCTTCGAGTGCAATAATAGAGCCAACTGATGCAACGTGGCGGGTTCGTAGGCAGCTCATACATGTGCTACGATAACTGATTGACCCCACATGCCGGGCACACTTCATAGGCAGTGGACGGGAGCTAAACACTTCGCTAAACTAAATGAAGGCACTTAGTCACATGCAGCATATACAGGCGGTCGGCTGGTGACTTTAGAGCCTCACACTCTCCGGCGTAACTGTACTGGCGCGTATTTGTTTCGGTTTCCGTTGTCTTTCCTTCTGGCAAGCGAGTGTACTGTGTTTGGAGAGAGAACAATCGAACTTCATTTCAGTGATTTGATGTATATGGTGGTAGTCAGTGAATTATTTGTATCATCAATACGAAGCTGTTACTTCTGCTCTTGGTGTGAATATTCCTACTTTAGAAATCATTAGCTCTGTTGTTGAAATGAGTATTTTTTCCCTTGCGTTCATAATCCCTCCACGTGAATTTGAAATAGTCCACAACGGGTAGGGTATCTGTGTGAGAGTTCAAACAGTTCCTGGACCTTCGTTCGATTATCGCAGGAGTACAGCAAGTGAATATGCATCTGCAAGGTAGCAAGGCAAGTGGATAAGAAACAGACGTATGGTAGTCCCCCAAAAGACCGACATACTGTGACAAGAAGGGGGAATTCCACAAGAATTCAAAGATACTGTGGCCGTCTTACAAATACGGAGTATTAGTCTGCTGAGCTGTGTGAACAAGCCCTTGATACGCACCTTATTCGACTACTTGACACCGGAATCGCTCGAAGCACACATCGTCACAGAATAAAGTGGATTCTGTTCAGATCACACTACAGTTAACCTTATGTTTTCTTCACAACAGCTCGAAACCCGGGAAATTGTCAACCGTTCCGTGTCCTCATGAAATCCTTCGACCCCGTCAACCGAGAAGTACTGTGGAGAGTTCTTTCTTTGGATGGTGGGTACAGGGCATTTCGGTGGATGCACATGGGGTTAAGCATAAACCCTATACGACATTACTCATCCCGAACGGTAGTCCATCGGCTTCGCTCACTGTGACAGACCAATCCAGAAACGGATGCTAGCGCAAACACGCACTTAGAATGAAAGCGTTCCCAATTCATTTTGCCTGGTTCGTCAAAAACGCATTGGTTATTCGCAATTCAAAGGAAACATGCCCTCCACCAAAACGATTATTAGCACCGTTCAGTAATATTTTTCACCGCCCTTCGGCGGGCGATCCCTTGATTGTCGCTCAGTGGTACGTGTGGACTTGATGGAGCCATGTATTGGTCTTATTTGGAGAACGAGGAGTTCCTCGTTCGGGATATGGTTTATTCGTGAAGAGGGGCGACAGCCATTATGGCACCAATTAGCCAGAAGCAATCAGCCGTGTGCAACTTCAGCAAACTGTCCCAATTGGTTAAAAGTGCACTCATCAGTTAGCTGTGTTTGAGCACTCGTGGATTGTTCAGTCATTGACACTCAATATACCGGTCATTTTCAAAAGCGAGGTGGCAGTACCTAATGCAATCTGACATATTCGCACGGCGTGACGTGAGTTTTACCAGAGTCTGCAATGTCGAGTGATTTCCGTAGAGCACAACACCTTCCCACAGAAACAGCTGAATACCACTGTCAAAAGAATGAAGTCCGACATTTCGATTTGATTTTCTTCTGGATCGTAACGGCCGATTGGGCTGCCAACACAAAGGTAAGGCTGTTTCTGGTAATTTGCTGCCAAGTACATTTAAGGAGGTTGGATTTGAGAAAAAATGCTGCTAATTGGCCAGATTAGTTCCAAAGGCTAAGTAGCGATCACACTTTAATTGTTCTTCGACATTGTGGTGCCACCTTCACATAATTTCACGAAGAACATTCCAAGGGAATATACACTCATTTGCAAACTAATTTATTTTTTCGAGAGACTCACCTGGAACCCAGCTGAATCTCTCGTTTGTGAAGCTCTCAGGCAACTGGATGTGCTGCAGCCAACCTCCTCGTGTTTCAGTCGTTACGATATTCGAGATATCGCGACACGTATATCTTTGTAATGTCCTACTCATAATGTTGCTGAAAATCCGTCGACAGCCCACGACCAGCTTCGCCCTTTCTGGGGCTCATCAGGTAGGCGCAGTCCCCGGGTTTCTGTCAACCTTATGTTCTACTTGAAACCAAATTGCACGAAATTAGCGAATATAGACTCATTTGCAAACTAATTAGGTTTTCCGAGAAACTCACCTGGAACCCAGTTGAATCTCTCGTTTGTGATGTTCTCAGGCTAATTTCGTGCAAATTGGTTTCAAGTAGAACATAAGGTTGACGGAAACCCGGGGTCTGCGCCTACCTGATGAGCCCCAAAAAGGGCGAAGCCGGTCATGGGCTGTCGACGGATTTTCAGCAACCTTGTGAGTAGTACCTTGCAAACATTCCAAGGGATTCAATTCCACTTCTGCATGTTATCCACCGTTATTACTAGCAAGCACCTTGGACTAGTCAGCCCCAAGCGGCATGTTCCAACACTTACGGGGGACGAATCAATTCGATCATTTAGTACAGTAAAGAATCTATTGGTGTTCATCACGAACACATGAGGTCATCTCTACAGAAATCCTAGTGTAACCACCGCGGTTTTCCGTTCACTCGCGTCTGACGGCTTGATTTTACCTACTTACGCGACTATTGGTCAAGCTACAGATTTAAAAGGGTTTGGTCAGGTGTACAGAGACAGAAATAGTAGTTTATTGAGACTCCTAGTCCGTTGGCACTAAACTGAGCAGTGGCTTATATTTGCAAGGAGTGGTAAACTAATACTGGCGATGGGAGGAGTCACTTTTTTGGTCGCTTAAGATTAGTTTCAATAGCCGGTTGGAGGTCTAGTTGTTGTCCGATGAAACTTATGCAGCAGTGTGTACATTCTAAGCGTTTTGACTGGCCTCGCAAGTAATACAACAGTTGATCATGAAAACGGTAGAGCCGTCGTAGTTGACAGGTTATTCGAAAATGGGTATGCGCTCAGTTGACCGATTTCGCGTTGCCAGCTCCCCAAAAAGATAATGGCATCTCACGCTGGAAACTATCTTACCTACGGGTTGTTAGTCCGTTCTTAGCCGAATGTCCCGTTAGCCTTGAGAGGTGAGAATACCAGCTCTACCGTACCCATCTATCAAGAATGGCACGCGTGCTTACGCTCACGCTCATGTGCTTCCTTAACTGAGTTCTGGATTCATCAGCCGACCTGAGACAAAGGTAGAGCACTAGTGGGTCATACATAGAGCAAACACCTGAACTCATCGTCATACAAGTTATACACTCCTTGCGTCTGCATATTCACTCTAGAGATGCCCTCATACGTGAGAACGATTCCCGTCGGCTTCTGCGGTCGCAGGTTTCGTCAAAAAAGTGACGAATTTGCTCCGCTGTCTATAAGCTTTGCCCATTTGGGACCGACTTGAACTTTTTTTACCTTCACCAGAGATGTACTGGAATCGTGCAGTTTTTGTAATTCATCAGGAAATAATTTCGGGCTCTGTAAAGTTATTCGTCTGAGCTGTAGATTAACGGCTGATTAGGGGATCAGTGTGCGGTCGTCCTAGGTGGTCAGTCGCTGAGCACACTAGTTCATCTATTGCGATCAACCCATGTTACGTACCACATGACTGTCGAAAAAGCGGAACGATCGCATACCAACCACTCAGCCGCTAGGCCCAGATGATCGAAATTACCAAGTTAAGTTGTTTAGAATTTGATTGACGCACCACTAACGCGGAAAAACTGAATTATTATTCTTGTTGCCACCGTAACCTTGTCGTGCTTGAGGTGATCACTGTTAACCCCATCAAAGCTGACGCTGCACGAGCTGGTTGCGTCATCACCAACATGAGAACCCCGAAGTCTTGTGCAACTCCGCTTTCATTCTAACGGCCTTAGTTAGACTGGATAATTGCTAGCCGGTAGCATAGTAACCAATCACTGTCCATACGTTTGACCAAATGATTCGATGGGGTTAACAAGGTCAGCAATTAGGCCAGGCTGTTTCGTCAATTGGACATTCATCACTTCCTACCCCTGACCCGCACGCCACTCCACCCCCACCTCCCGCCAGCATATCGGCTAATTATTAAGTAAAACCAGCTGTCTTGGAAATAAAGACGTAAAACGAAAAGTCCCAAACAATTTGCTGTGCCTAGGACAGGTCGGCCCTACCAGGACAAATGACCCGGTCGACAAATTTACTAGGTAGGCAACTCAACCAAACATTGTATTTTTCACACAAATTATTGGTTTGCTTTTAAAACCTACATCATAAGCGATACTAACGCCAACGTCCTAGCACCAGACAAGTAGAAATTGCACGGCCAATTTTAAACGGGATTTGCCGGTTATTACATCTTCATAAGTTGAAGGGATTCAAGGATTTCCACCTCTAGAAGGGATGGTAAATAATCGACGGCGTATTTCGTAAATAAAATTTGCACATTTCTTATTCACGATAATGCGATGACTAAACACCACAGGAGAACCATCAGATTGCAACCCAAAAGTTTAAACAAGGCTGTTGCGAGCAGCCCCACCACAATCTTGATATTGGAGTTGTCCCTAGCGTGTAGCTAGGGAACTTCGTGGTAAACGTCTTATCACTAATCAAGGCGACACCATTGGTGCGTCACCGAATCGGAGCAATTTACCACTAGTTGTATGCATATTATAACATGCGTAACACTACGCAACACAGACGTTTTCAGAACTCAAGTATTCATTAAGTTAATGAAATACCCTAGCTAATGAGAGGGAAATCGCCAACATGATACAGTCGTTTCTGGTTGTTCACCGACGTTTTGAGTAACCGACAATCATCAGCCATATGGAAGACCGGAAGGACCCTGTGAATGATGCCTATGGCTCAAATGCTTAACAGTGGTTACCATCCCCACACAACTACCCGAACGTTCCAAAAAATTACCGTTCTAAAAAACCTGACCTGTGAAAGCAGTGCATATTGATAGAACTCGTATAACCACTAAGTACCAGGACACACCGTCATAAAAACAGCGGGAACCCATTGCTGTATAAAAACGTTCAGCCGTAGCACCATTTCGGTACCTAGTTGCCATGCTACCGGAAGGAGGCACGAGGGCTGGAATACTGCCAGGTTATCCAAGCCTAAACAAAAGCAGTCGAAATGCTGAAATTGGGCTCAAACCACGGACCTTCCGATCCGTAAGCTGGTGTCTTAGCCGCTGAGCCATCTCGAACCCTTGCTATATAGCTCTTATCACTTCGTCATTGCCGATGCGATCTTCACCTGTTACGCCCACCTGAATCTAGGCAGTTCGGAGAAAAATCCTCATTTGTCATTCCGAAGAAATATGTTGCATCCACCCATCAAACGAAACAGAAAAGTCGTTCCAAGGGGAATGTCCCCGATTTTTACTACTGAATACACTCCGGGCGAATGCACAGTCATTCAATTGCCCACTTACAAAATACTCGTGAGTTACGCGTCCCTGACACCACAATCCATGCTTAGGATGGGTGATCTAGCGTCTTTCTAGAGCAAAAGTAACCGGATTTCCGCAGGTAAGCAGTTCCTAAATCACTGAGCTTACTAAACACAATATTGAATCCATCAACCGCTAATAATCCTTAGTACGCTTAATGGTCCATACGATGAGCACACTCAGAGGCTCGACGTCTCTGTGCAAATTAAACGGAAACCTGAATCCCATCAGTCACAAGAGCCACACAAGTGTTGCCAAGCCACGGCTGTTGCGCTTATTCCTTGAAAGATTACACCTCCAGGAATCCCAGCGGTAACGACCGCTTGCCCGTAGCAAGCTAAAAGCGTCATGTAACATCCGAATGTTTAATAAACTTACCGCTAACTCCCAAATCAATGCAGTTTAATGATCAGGTCGAATGTAACAAGAGGCTGTAATTTTGGGTTCATATGCAGTGGGGTATCGTTGTCTAATTCGTAGTGTGCACCGTATGACATGCAGGTGAAATATAACCCAGATGGGAAATCTCTTCCCACTCCATTCTAGAAGTTTTGCCAACCTCTTCTTCGAACCTCGGTTGGAAAGACCTACATAAACCCAAGATGGACCAAGTGGTTAGAGCACCGATTTACTGACCAGAAGTTCCGTGGTTCGAACCCGACCTCTGCTTCTCGACTTCCCTTGTCTAAATTTGGGCGGCCTGGCATTGTCCCAGGCCTCGTACCTCCTTCGTGTGGCATGGCAGCTAGGTACCAAAAGGGTGCTACAGCTGAATGATTATTATTCGTAATGCACTACTCATAAATTTGCTGAAAATTCGATAGCCCACGACCGGTTTCGCGCTTCTTGGGACTCATCAGGTTGGCGCAGTCCCCGAGCTCCCGTCAACCCTGTTTTACTTGAAACCGAATTGCACGAAATTAGCGAAATACACTCATTTGCAAAGTAATCTGGTTTTTCGAGAGACTCACCTGGAACCAAGCTGAATCTCTTGTTTGTTAAGTTTCCAGGCAACTGATTATTATTATTATTATCGTTACATAAACCCAAGTGGTTATATCGATATTTCATCTTGAAGTGGTAATTCGGACAGTCGATTTCTGACAAAAAGCTCGTGCGAATGGGCACAGCCATCAATGGAACATCCGGTATAGGCTATTGCTTTTGAAATGAATTTCGTGATGCGTCCTAACAAATGCATAGCACTATTTTACATTAGATGCAGGGAACGATTTCCGACTGACACTAGAAACACCGCGAACTCTCGGAGGAATAGCTCAGTCCTAGTGAGACAATCCAGTAAAAGGGCAATCATAATGAACTGGAACCCCACTCTATTGCAATGAAAATATGACAGGTCACCATATGGCAGTGTTGGAACGACTTCAACGGTAACGATACTTCGACTCTTGCAAACGAAAATGGGTAAAACATGCGGCAGTACAGATGCTCAAACCCACATGAGTCAAGCAAGTTGACACCCGCTGCCAAATCACACCAGAACGTAGACCAACACATAGCGGAAATTCAGACTCAAATAACTTTTGAGCCTGAAACGTGAAAACTGTTCAGGAATGGACAGGTGGAAAATTTTGCCTACGGAGAGCAGGTAGAAAAGCTGAATGCAGTCTGTGGTCAAAAATGAGAAAGGGTCATGTACAGAAGAATCAACTCGACCGTGCATCACAAGACCGACATGGCAAATATGCAAAGATAGAATCAGAGAACTGGAGTATAGGTATTCCTGTTCACAGCACATATGTTCCGGTGGTAATGTCTTTTCCGCGACCAAAGGACTTCTGTTCCGAAACTGTTTGGAAGTAGATTTTGTCGGGGAAGTTGAGCCGTTCTTTTATTCGCCTTCCAATCCGGAGGATTGTATCTTTATCTTGACTGTTGGATAGCCAAACGGCCATCTTGTGTCCTCGCGTACGTGGCTGGAAAACTGCACCGCATATTTGTTCTGCTTCATCGTCTGTTTCCCAATCACAACCAACAAGGAGCATCAACAACTCCTCCCAGTATCTAAAAATGTAGAAACGTCCCAATAACAATAAACATCTCGAAAGTTCGATGAACGGCTATGAAGCTATAGTACACGGAAATTAATGTGACAAAATTGTATCTCTATAGATTACGATTCGGATGTTTCCCTGCAAAATGTGGACTGAGATGTCTATCACGATCATGCTGACTTCTACGAGCTTACCAGTCACAAGCAAAGCATGANATATATATATATATATATATATATATATATATATATATACCCGTCGGTAGTCAGGGTAGAAGGTCCTTGTGAACAGAAGCCTGGTAACGCATTAGTGAAGATGGGCACTCATGTACCTTTGAAAGGAACGAAGATTAGTGTTCGCAATTCAGCTTGACGCCAGTCGTAACGAGACTGGCTTCATTGCCTTACGGTGGCTCGTGAAACAGCGACTCGAGAGCAGCAAGCGGGATTTTGGCAAAGCAGGGGTTGCGTTGACCAAATCTTCACACACCGTCAGATGCTAGAACGCCATTCCTATACGCGACCCACAATTATAGTATTCCTGGATTTCCAATGCCTGTTCTGTTTGACACGCTTGTCCATCAAGGAATCTTTGTGAACAGCTCTTTCTAAACCGAGACTTCCGGACGTGTGAGAGTATACGGCGAGCTCTCCAAAAGCTTCCGTACACAAAGCGGTGTGCGTCAGAGATTCTCACTCTCTCCATTCCTGTTTAATTCCGGGACCCTTTAAATCATGAGAACGCTAGAAGGCCCTCAAAACCCCGGCGTCCAAGTAGCCTGTGACGAAAACCTTGCCGATCTAGACTATACAGATGACATCGTTTTCGTCTTCGAGGAGAAGGCGGAAGTGTCTTTGGATGAACTTACCAAAGTCCTTCGGTATAAACTTTGCACCGACAAAGTGTAAGGTCATGCTCCTAGACATGCAACCACTTACAATCCAGGGAGCACTAGAAGTTGTGGAGCGTTTTACGTATTTCGGAAGTCGTATTAGTCCTGATCGTAGTGTAACCGATGAGGTTAAGCACGAATCTCAAATGCGCGGTTCACGTTTGCTAATTTGAGACATGTGTATCAGGCTACAGTGCGGGCTGTTTTGTTGTATGGCTGAGAGACTTGCCCTGTTCGAGCAGCGGAAATGAGACATCTTCAGGTGTTCGACAGTCGTTGTTTCGGGACAACAGCTCGTGTGGGTTGTTTTCTGAGGATCCGTAACGAGGCGATTAGAAAGCCAGTTTTCGGTTGTGCAAACAGGGACTTCAATTGAAGAATATGTCTAGCACCAGAAACTGCGTTAAGTTAGGCCATGTATTGCGTATGTCGAACCACTTCCGAAGAAAGTTCTGTTTTCCATGCCCATTTCAGAGTGGCGAAAGCCGAGAGGTGGCCAACCCTTGACCTGGCAGAGGGGTATGAAAGAAATCACGAAACGTTTGGGTGCTGTCGGTGCTAGTCGCCTTCAGGGTGGGGACCAGGTGATCACCAATGCGCCCGGTTGGAGACAATGCAAGATGCATCTGCTAACCGATGTCCGTGACGTTCTTGTTGTCCGTTTCTATCCAGATTGCCTGAATGAGTGTTTAGTGGCATATGATTGTAGTAATCTAGCACTAAGTCCCTTCCCTACCCACCTTTATTCTTTTATTCACAGTAGGGCTTTCAAATAAATCATGGTTGTACGGCAGCGAAGCATCGCTGTCGAATACTGATGTCATACTGTCGATGTTGATGATTATGATGAAACACTGTAACAAATGGTTCCAAAATAACTAGTTGAATGAGAACAGGTGAATACCGTCTTTGGAGCCCTTCAGATTGGCAAATGTTCAGAGACTATTGCTCACTTCTGTCCACTGGAAGTTACGAGTGATGTTAGAGATTTATCTCATGACTATCGCCTTAGTGACACTCCCTGGTTCTTTACGACGAGCTACATCCCAGAAGAGAGCAGATTAGGGTAGCAATTATGTAATGCAAGCAGCGGAAATCCAACAGTGGGGTGAATGGAGCACAACAGTGCCATCAGAGGAAGGATGCCAGAGCTACGAATAACGGTGGCCCACATCAATATGCACAGCTCGACGAGAAAAGGCAGAATGGGATGGAAATCTGATTTGAGACTTTAGAGAAGCCTGCATGCTTGACAGGAACGTGGTCAACGAGCAATATGTTATTCTGAGAATGCTCCCATCGTGTCAGTGCCGTAAGTTTACTAAAAAGAACCCTTATCATTACAAAAGGGACTCATAGGTGTTAGCCGTTCCTGATCTGTCATTCTGAAACGGCGACGTCAGTGACGTAGAATGGGCATACGTAGCCTTCCATCTGCTCAGCTGGAAGATGCAAGATATTACCACTGAACGATACAAGTAGCGTCTGTGATGTCGGTTTCCACCCAGTGTCTGCATGAATGAATGTATAAGCATCTGTAAAGTTCATGATAGTTAAGTACAAGGCCCTTCTTATGTACCCTCCTTTGTTGTTATCTTGATTAAAGAAGAGGCCTCATCTGACAAAACCAGTATGATTGTACGGCAGTTGGGCGTCAGTATTCCCGTAGTGTTGTTGATGCCAGTTAGGGTTATGCAGAGCAAGAGAAGGGACTTATACTACACTCACTTTCTGCGTCTATCACTGGGGCACTCAGAATCGAGAGGAATTTGTTTGTCAAGTTTACACGACACATTTCCACTAGGTCACCATGGGCGTAAAATTCTAAGCGGCCAACATACAAGGAGTACGGGAGCACTGAGGGTAGTAAGATCACACAAGTCAATAATTCCACTCGATTAGCACGAAAGCCGGGAGCTACCTGTCTCGGCCTTCTTTTAACGGCAGTACACGAGAATCCTACTTGTCCAATAGTTGACTGATTGAAGCTGTCGGCTCATACGTGAATAGTAAGCTTTTCAAAAAGCCATCACGACCAATTCCGGACGCCTAGAAAGCAGGTTTTTGGGAGTTCTTCAGTGCAGCGTATGGAAACGAGAAAACAAACGAAGCATAGCTTAATGAATGTTAGCTGGCGTTCAAGAAATAACTGAGATTGTTTCACGGAAGACGACTGCAACAATGCGGGTTACACTATGCATACAGAACTGAAGAACTGAAGAGAGCTAAGTGGTTAAAACATGTACTTACTGACCAATAGGTCCATGGTTCGAATCTAGCCTCTACATCTCGACCACTCCTGTCTAGGCTTCGGCAACCTAGCCCTCGTGTTTCCATCGGAACGCATGGCAGCTAGGTGCCGAAATTGCTGCCTCTGAACTATTATTACTTTCTCTGGGAAAGCCGATTATCTATCCCACTCATCGACTGGACTGATGACTACACCAAAATGTACCGCTACAGCTGCCACCGTTAATTAGTTCTAAGGCTGGCAACGACGCTGACACAGCCATTAGTTGCGGCGATGACTGACGATAACTGATGATGACGAAACGAGGGCCAAGTCTCTGGAGGCCAGTATCGGTAGATTTGTACATGCGCAGAATTTTGGAGTGAGGAGGGATACTACCAACTATAAGGGATGACTTAAAGATAAGGCTTCTTAGGGGCTCTACGTCATACGAAATAAAGCTGAAGTACGCAAAAGTCTGCGCGGCAAATGGGGAGATAGAGATGCGAGCAGTCACTCATAAGTGAGGACATCCCGATACATTATCTACGTGGGTAGTCTGGTTCAGAGGACGGAAACTGTGAGGTCTTGGCACCCTAAATCAATGCAGTCCGGAGGGAGGAAACCAGAGCAAAGTTGAAAAAGGTTACGGCTTTGTGTCGTTCAAAGGAAATAACGTCATTTGTGCGCGACGATCGCCTGGACACCACACTTCCGCCTACTTTGGAGGAAACAAAGAACAAGTAGCTGCGTACCGTATTTATGAAGAGTGATACTTTGGGCTGGAGTTGTGCCTACGAAAACCCTATAGTCACATAGAAGAGGGAATCCCATACACAAGAGTACCCGCTCAAATGGAAACAAACGGGCTGAAGAATACGACCGCTACTTCCTGTCTAACTACCGGAGATGTCAATTTGTGGTCTCCTGGCAAACACAATCACATGGCCATCAATAGAGACATTATTCACTACGCGCGGGGGGAAACCCCTAGACCTGGAAACAAGAGCTGATAACCCAGGAATTGGTAAATTCGTTTTTCTTTAGTTTGTGACTACTAATCCCGACCCTAATCTGTCAGCTTGTCGTGGTGGTCGGGCTTCTGTGTTTCAGAGTTTCCGCGGGCTATAACGGCTAGACATGAGTGTCAACAACGCCAACTGGGAGCAGCCCAACGAAGGTCAGTGAGTCTCCAGACTGCGAATATTCGTATTACGAAGCGGTCTAGAGGTAAAGTCGAACTTTCCTCTGCGACAGGAGTCTGAAGGCAGTAAGAAGTTTACCCCAAGGTGTTTAGTATGACCATATTTATGGAAGCCGCCATGCTGTCTTCCCCCTAGAAAGGACGGGTTAGAAAAGGTCGACCCTGAGAAACCGCACACTCCAATCGTCCAAAGGTTGAACGTGACAGCCGGCGCATTATTCAGTAAGGTCAAAATACCTTCAAAATCAGTCTGGTGCTGCTCAAAAGGCACCTTCTGTGAGCTGCTGCATTAAAACTGAGACAATACTGTCTTACTCTCTACGTCCTCGGGCCAGACCGGTCCCCTCCAGCCAAGTGACTCCCGAACGGCCCACCAGAAAAACCATAACAACTCTGCCGCGCGGACGACTTTTGGGTCAGACTAGGAACATGGTTCCCGAACAAAACCTTACATCCTCCCACCGCCAAGTCAAAAACTCAAAGGGCTGTACTTTAACCAATCCCCTTCGGCCTGGACAACGGGGTAGTACCATTCGCCCTTGCAGCTCTTCGTTCACCAGCCTTCCCCTAAACCCCTCCCCACCCGTCGAACGACACAATGCCACCAACCCGTCCACCAATCCCTAGCCGATGTTTCGTGTATAAACCGGCACCCAGAGAAATAAACAGAAACAATCACCTACAAGTCTTGAAATACCTGACGCTTATTGCAACCTTTATTGTCCATGCCCTGTCTGTCGTATATTTGCTCTGTTTTTCAAACGTTCTATCGTTTATTGCTAAATAACTTCCTTTCGTTTTAGCTGTGTCAAGGTTGTGGATAAATGACTGAATTCGAAGCCTAGCTTTCCGGCCCTCGGTCTCTTCAATTCTCATTCTGATTGTCGCTGCACTCCATCCCTCGTCGAACACAACAATTCATTCATCCAAAAAATTTTCGTCGAACAGTGGATCGATTCGTACGTCCTGGACGATTCGATACCGATCCCAATATTCCAGACCAGGGAGCCTTGGTTTTGTACTTTCACGAACTTCCTACAGTCAATCGATTCTCATTCACCAGATAAACTGAAAACTCTTTCAATTACGCGACCCCTAGTGTTTACCGATTCATGAAAGATTGTTAAGAAAATTAGATAAGCCATCGAAACCTTGCGAGAAATTTACGTACAGCCGAAAAATGACATTTTTGCCAGGCAGCTTTTGAACACTTGTAAGCAGGACGGAGCTCAGAACCTTTATAAGTTTGTTCAAGAGCTTCGTAGTTTGTTGCCAGATTGGTGCTCTACGACCGTCAATACCGAACAACATAGCGGTGAAGCGTTACGAGACTTCATTTGAATACTATACACCAGAGACTGCTGGAACATAAGTCGCTAGGTTGTAAACCGCACACGTCCACGCAAAATCCCTCGAACTAGCGCAAAAACAGTAGTCGTTTTTACCGAACAATCAACTCCCTTGTGCTACCGCATCAAACGACCAGCCAAAGTCTCCACGTCCTCAAGCATCATCGCATGAACAAATGACTGCTGTACTGTGGCTATGTTCATCATCCGCGTTAAAAATGCACCGCTAAAGATGCGACCTGCAAAAACTTTGGGAAGAAAGGGCACTTCCAAAAGGTATGCAGATCTTCTACTGGTCCACGGAACACCTCATCTGTTTCAAGCGCACTATTCACTGCAGCGGTTCCCGAGTGTCTCAAAGAAACAGTCACCGATGTGAAAGCCAATGGCGTCCTACTTGGAGCTCTTGTTGATACTCGTAGCTCAGAAAGTTCAATTTCGGAAAATGTAATCCGTCGTAACAAGTGGTCTGTACTACCATCGTCAACCGAGGTAACTTCGGCATTCATCCAGCACAAAAGCTTTACTCTTGGACATTGTTTTTTAACGTTACTGTAACGGTTCGGTCATGCAGCGAGCAAACAATAAAGAAGTGTTGATCAAATACTGAGCTTCCGGTCACACTCTCCTCTTTCGAAGCTGTCTCAGTTTTCAGCTCAAAAGTATCAAGCAACGTCCAACCGTACGGTACCTGAACACACTTGAGTTTCCGGCGTGCTGTTAAGGCGGAGTTGGTTTTGATGTCTGGTCCAGGTGTCTTGACCAACCGACACGTCGTACATTACACTACCGCGTTTGCGCAAGATACGACCTGCAATCCATGAATCATGTCCTGGGCGATAGTCACGGACAAGCACGGGCGTTCCCACCTTGAATGGGGTTCCAACTGCCACCGGTATGGACCTTGACTCAGTAGGTTGTGTTGGCAACATGGAAGAATGCACAGTTCTCAGTTTACGGCCCATGAGTGCCTCTGCAGGTGACTGGTGGCTTGCCAAAGCGTCATTCGGGGTCGTTCGGTACACAAACAGGAATCCCTGAAGGGCTTCGACGGATGTCTCCTCCCCTCGAGCTTTAAGCAAAGCCCTCTTGAATGTGTCGACGAACCTTTCTGCTTGACCGTTCGATTGTGGGTGGTACGGTGGTGAACGAACGTGTGTTATCGCATGTCGAGTGCAGAAGTCGCGGAACTCAGCAGAGGTGAACGGCGAACCATTGTCTGAGACTATGGACTCCGGTAATCCATGCTGACTGAAAATGTTGGATAACACTCTCAGCGTACTAGATGTTGTTGGAGATGACACAGGAACGATTTCTCGCCACTTGGAAAAAGCGTCAATCAAAACCAAACAAAAAGTGCCACGTATCGGTCCTGCGTGATCAATGTGGATCCGAGACCAGGGCTTTTCAGGTCGAGGCCAAGGAACCGGTGGTTGGTGTGGCGGATTCTTTGAAGCTTGTTGACATCGGGAGCAGCGTTTTACAAAATCAGTGATGTGCTGGTCCATGTGCGGCCAGTATGCGTAACTGCGAGCTATTGACTTCATACGGGTGTCCAGAATGGAACTGACGAAGAACTCGATGGCGTAAAGGTTGCGGAATCACCACGCGATCTCCAAACATTAAACAATCTTTTACGATCGCTAATGCATCT